GTGGTTTTGACATGTCCATCTTCTGATGGCTGCTTCCAGCAGGATAAGACATGTCACAAAGCTCAAATCACCTCAAACTGGTTTCTTGAACATGACAATGAGTTTATTGTACTCAAACAGCTTCCACAGTCAACAGATCTCGACCCAATAGGTAAACGGTTATCCAACAAGCAACCGAACGGGGTACATAAAGTGGCCAGTGAGTGTATATAGTCATGTGTGGAAATTTAATTAAAGTACACTAAAGTTCCCATCTTCATAGTAATACAGGCATCTCTCACAAAGAACAAGAGCTCGGTTCAGTGATCCGTATTTAGCCAGGAGTCAAAGAGAATGATGGATGGCAGTGGCACAGGAAAATAAATGATATGAACCTTTAACAAATAAGACAGATCTTAAATCATTTACTTTGACGAAAACAGACTGCTACCGTGACACTCCAAATAGTACTTCTACAATGAGCTCATCACGTGTCATGACTAGCTTACTAAGAGGTCTGTTGATCTGTGAGTGGCTGTAAAGAAGACATCATTTTATAAATAATTCTCCAGTTAGCACCACATGACTTGGGTACAGCTTTCCTGCAGGAGCAGCTTCTTTCATCTCTGCAGGACCAGGCTGCACCCCCACTGAACTGCACTGATTAAAAGCATCCACTCCAGTTTGTCAAACCTCAGAAATGACCTTTGCAAAGAGGGCCAGTCCATTTCTCAGTAAACAAGACAAAGAAAAAAAAGTGCCATGCTATAAGCGTGTGCATTCGGCATAGGAAATTTTATTAATGTCTACACTGTGTTTTGCCCACAGCTAACCCGATGAACATTTTCTATGGATCTTATTTTTATTACATGTTAATAAGTAAATTCCCGCACTTAACCTTCAAATATATAACTATATTATAGTTTTTTTTTTTAAAAAAGGTTAGAAAACATTTACATCAATTTACACCTGAAGGCCTCTGAATGTCATCTCAAGTCATTCCCTTCTGTTCTATTAAAAGCCACTGATGTGGATAAATCCCTGAACTGATTTACGATCTTTGAAGGCACACACTGAACTTGTCTTTTTGTCTGAGAAATACTGTAGCGTTAAATCTCTAGGCAATATGTAATTCATTACAGTGGTTAGATAACCATGCAGGAGAGTTTCACAAAAGAACATAATCAAATAAATTTCTCACAGGGAGAATTTGTTAGACGAACCACTCGATCTGAAGTCTGTACTGAGGTCTGAATATGAAAACTGTTGAAAAATTATGTTCCTCCTGTCAGTACTCTTTGTTTCATAAATATTTATACTGCTCCGTACTGGGAGAGCATCTTCTTATTTTCTCAAAACACAAAGAATGTAGATGTAGACGTTCATTGATCTTCTCGATTGTGATTAAAAAAAGCTCATTCACTAAGAAAAATTCAAGAAAAAGTATTTTGATCTAAAAATAAAGTGCAGCAGTTCTGGTGTTAATCCTGAGGACCTTGAAGTGAAAGCACAAGGGAAGGGTAGACGTAAAACTAAGCAGAAAAGAAAGAAAATGCTAAAACTTTAAAATCAAAGGAAGTTCTGCTCATTGAAATGTAATAAAAATGTTCCTGTATGTACTTTTTTCTGCCTCATTAACTCTTATTTCCTGTGAGGATGCGCCTGATAAGAAGAAAGTACAAAGTAGGGCTGCTCAATTAATCGAATTTTAATCACAATTACGATCAACGATCATTAAAAATAACTGAGCCGATTATTAGCCCCTCCCTCGTGCTTTACTCTCGCGCCGCTCCGTGTGGCAAATCGAGCGCACCTCTCTGCATTTCGAACACGTGTCACAACAATTAAGAGCAGCGGTCCCCAACCTTTTTTGCGCCACGGACCTGTTTATGCCCGACAATATTTTCATGGACCGGCCTTGAAGGTGTCGCGGATAAATACAACAAAATAAAACTAGTTCCGGTACCGAAAAAAAGAACATTTATTCATAACACAGGTGAAAAAACCAAGGAAAAACCGAGTAAACGATAAACACGATAAAAACCCTGAAAACTATACATTTCACACCTGAGCCTCAACTCTCGCGGCCCGGTACCAA